ACTCAACAACCTGCAGATTGCGAGTTGTGCTCTGCCAAGAGCAACCTGTCTGTGGATCTATATTAAGAAGTTGTGTTGTCTGCGTTGCCAGGAAGTTAACGTCATGCAGGACCTCGTGATGTCTCATCTCGCACAACAGAACCATGCGTTGCTGACATTATCACGCTGCCATTTTTATGATTTCATATTTAAATATTTAGATTCAAAACCATACTTTTGACAAATGACTACAATTTGCGGTAGTATTGTAGTCGCTATACTTGGGGGTCTTTGACCATACACTGTGTGCACACTCATGTATGCAACAATGCAGGGCTAGCCAAAGGCACCTATAGCATTCTCTGGATTCAGTTTTATTGCCCGACCCTCGCATCGCCGGACGAATACACTTTTATAACTTTCTAAAGGTTAATTCTTCATTCCCGAGACTCAACTATATAGCCTTAGGACACCTAGTAATGCAATCTGTACATGCAGTGCAAGGTTTAGGTTTTTGTTTATTAAAGACTGTTTAGACTGCGTTGATGTTTTTTTTCTCATGATTAAAGAACATTTGTAATATTTTGTTTAGTTATTGTAAATCTTCCAGCCTGGATCTTCCAGTGGTCTATGCTTAGGTGTTTAAAGAATGTCTTTTTTGTTGTTGTGCAGTATTTATTTTATACGGTGTATTGCTATGTAATCCAGGTGCTCCTTGGGGGGGGGGGGGGGAAATAATTGTAACCTCGTCGAACAATAGATGATCTAGTTCTAAACTCGGGTATTTTGCATCACGGGACGAGATAACATGCACCACAGCTTGAAAATGACATCGTTTTGTGATGGCTGAAAGGGGTTTGTGGGCAGTATAGTTTTTGATTTTGCGAATGTGGTTACTGTTATGAATGCAGCCTCGGCCCTTTATGAATAACTCGCACTACTTTGAGTTGTATTGATGATTCCCGTTCTGCAGTACACTGGTTGTTAGCATGCAGGTGGCTGATAAAACGTAATTAGGAGGGGTCTATCTGATAATAATTTACGGATTCGCTTCTAAGTCGTTTGAATTATATTTGATTTGCACTACATTTATGAATACGTCTAGTATTCTTAGCTCTTTCGGTAAAGTCACGTTGAAGGGAAACAATATTTTATTTTACCGAAAAAGCTAAGAATATGAATTACTGCAGTCACGAAAGCTTTAAATCAAAATTTTACGTCTAGTATTTCTTAAGGTTATGCGCATCATTTATATTGCACTTTGTTCATGAAACAGATGTCCGTATAAGAGGTGAAAGCTAATTACCATGTAAACATAGCCGTTTATAATTAATCGTTTTCATAATAGAAACTGGTAACAAGTATAGAATTAAAATGGGGTCCATGAAAAGAGGCTTGCATGGGTGTGCACATGTTGAATGTTTGAATATTTTAATGAACCTATGTATAAAGGTAAAACACCCCACATCGTAAAACATTCCAAAAATCAGGCCTTCTTGGTAAACCAATTTGTGTTTATTATAAATCTGCTGGTTTGTGCTTTGTGCATGCCAATGACGTGCATGGCAGGATTGGTTTACTGCACGCAGTTTCAGATTACATGTGGAACTGAGTGACTTGCCAGGTGAAATTGCTATGGTGTAGTAGAATGCTAACCTTTTTTATGATTTGTGTTACACTATTCAGTCAGCCACAGTCAACTTTTGATGAAAGTTCTAACCATTAATTTCATGCGCGGTGGTTATTAACGCCATTGTTAGTTCGGCACCTGCCGCAACTTTTTGTTCCGGCATGGCCGCGTTGAACTCAAACCCAGTTGGATGTGGTGGGATGAGTGGGGGGTAGTAAAATCGGTGTGATATTTATTTGGCCATCCCATTCCTAGAATTTGTTGCAGTATCCAATTCCTTGGCACACAATTCTGCCAGAATTTGTTTTTTGTGATTGTGCATGCTGGTGTTCTTCTTTGTACTCTTTAATATATGGTGTACATTATGTTCAATCAAACCTTGGCTATCTGCAATTGCATTTACAACGTGATGTATGTAATCCTCCAGGCGTTTTACTGTACATAGAGCAAAAAGTCCTTTCTGTGCATGTATTTGTGTACTGGGGAGTGGTAGTGTTGTGGTTGGTGTGCTACGAACCCGGTGACCCGAGTATAATTCCCACTCACGGCCAACACCGGTGAGGATTATCTGAACTGGTCCTGGGCCTCCCGAAGGTCGACTCAGCCTCAATACATCGCTACTGGGGAGACAAAGGTGGCCGTGCGTGGTGCTGTTCACCAACCCCCTCGTGTGCCGTGCTCCCCTTCATAGGTGCTCGCTATCAGCACTTTCCCCAAAAAGTCTTCAGGCCATACCGGGGGATCTTTGTACTGCACCGAAGTTACGTTCTGTTAGTCGTTGCGATGGCTGGTTCCCTGGGTGTATATCGGTACCCCCCAGCACCCATCTTGCCTCCAATCCCAGCCTCCATTATCCCCCACCACCAACATAGTTTGTGCATTTGATACCCATTACACAGTATACTACATTGTACAGGTTTTTATATACACCATTTAACATTTTCTAATGAATGTTATATATTATTTACGACAACAGTCTCAAGTTTTTAATTACATGTTTAAATCATGCCTATTTTTTTAAAGTTAATATACATTAGGTATTTTTTTTATTGGCTTACTCTGTCTTGGGAAGTTCAAATTATAGGTTGCCAGGGTTTGAATGGCCTGGGTTTAACTCTGCTTATTCTAACGTTCCACTAGATCCAGAGTTTTTTTATTTAATTGATCCTCGTTTTCTCTTTGTTTAGAATGCTTTCTTCATGCAGAGCATCCCAGGTCACCTTGTATTTTTTTTTAAAAGCTCAAAACCCACTGTTTATCCTCCTAAAAAATAAAATAATGGAAAGAAGTGTGGTTTCAATCTTTTTAAAATATGATACAAATGTAAGCATCACCCTGAAATGTTGACGCAAATATACTTAAATTTTTATTTAAAGCTTTCGTGATAGCAGGGATTCATATTCTTGGTTCTTTTGGTAAAGTCACCACGTAGAAGGGAAACAATAAAATATTGTTTTATATTTTTATAATTTTATTGTTTCCCTTCTACGTGACTTTACCGAAAGAACCAAGAACACAAATATACTTTTCTGATGAATTAGTTGCGTGCAGGTTTCATGCAAATATAAACATTGCCACCATTGCTTTCCTTGTCCAGAACCTCTTTACTTGTGCATAGTAGAGATTTAGCATTATATAGGTTCTGAACTCATCACCATTATTGTTTCCACAGTGCTTCGGTTAACAATCAACTTTAAATCAATCTAACGAGTTGTTCATTTACTCTCTTAAAAAGCAATCTCTTCAAACGATATTTTGACATCTGATTGTTTGGCTGCAGATCGTTTTAGAATGCATTTCCAAGCTGTGCAACTTCATGTAATACATTTTGCTGTAAAACTACATTCATATACAGCTATTGTTATTATTGTTGATCACAAAGCTCCATAATTGAAGCAGTTTTCCTGCCAATATAGGAACAATAATGATATGAATAAATGTCAGCTGTTATTCTGTATTGTCTATCTTAAACAGTCAATATCCCTGCTAATATGAACACTGGCTGTATCTCGATTGGTGGCTTTAAGACAGTGATGGAAATGTTGACGGTAGTGGAATTTAACCGCAGTTGACGTTACCATCAATTGGTACCCATGTCATTGACCCCAGACCGAAGATGGCTTAAAACATTACTGTGTCATACATTACTATCCTTGAACATAATTATTTCATGTCAAATATAAGCTTTCGTGCTATGTTGGTATCGAACTGAATTACAGATTTTTGGTTCGTACCTTTTCTTAAACATTTAACTGCACAAGGTGGTTGTAATATTTAATGTTTACAGTTTTCATGCTGTTTTTTTTTTGTATCAAGTGTAAGTGTGTGCTTAAAGCAGTCGCATGTACTGTTGAGCGTTGCCGTTGTCCAAAAATGGCATCTCTCAGGAGGCTGTGCAAAATGCTAAAAGTCATGCTGCGTCTGCCAGTTTCTTTTTCTGGGTGCGGTTGGCAGTCGTTTTGAAATTCTTTAATTCACTCTGACTTTGCACTCTGGCAGTACCATTTTGACTTAAAAAACGGAGCTACTTGTGCTCGTACTATGAAACTACACCGTTTTGTTTAAAGGTCACTGGTAGGTTTAAAAGTAAGGTTTGTTATGTTTGTATGCGAACGTGGTGTCAGTACTGACTGAAACCACGCAAGCTATAGAAAAGGCTTACTTTGACAGCATTTATGAACACTGCCTTATGAAGTGAACATTATAGAATAGTCAGGATGATAGTTTATTTTACCAGGTAAAAACTTGAGCCTACTTTTATCTATTTTTTCAAGATCGACTAGCGACGTTGCCCACAACACTTGTGTTTGTTCCCAGCTCTCCATTTAACACCTGAAATCCTTTTCAGATGCAGTGGCTTTTTGGAAAAGGACACACAATTATTGTTTGACTATCAATAATAAATGATGAGGTGTTATGCGAATTGAACCGTTGTACCTGTACAAACAGACTCTTTGGCTACACATATATTTTGAAAAAAAAGTTCCGTTAAATGAACATGAAGGTGGAACTCCTCTTCATTGGTGGTCAACAGTGGAAATTCCAAACGATGGATGTTGGACTTCTTTCGCACGGTGTAACCAACTGTGCTAATCGGGAGGTGTGGGAGAAGGACAACAAACTTAAACACAAAGCAGTTCACCAGTGGCAAGGGGGGAAATCTCTCCATAGGATGATCACAATTGAATTTGAAAACATGGGGTACTTATTGATTGTATTGATGGTGATGTGATGATGAGTTGAGTCCCAACATGGAATTGAGCTTGGGATCTGCCCGATTGCAAGTCGTGCGCTCCAACACAATGTCATCCAGCTGTTTTTTTTATTATGTTGGGAGGATGTAGAGTGCATTCCAGTGAAGTTATAGGATATGGGTCTCTTGTGTTTGCAGGTATCTGAGTTCATGCGGGATCCTGATGACCAAGAGCCTTGGAACATTCAGCAGGCTGCACCCTCACCAATCCAGCATGCAGTACCGCTCCTTTATGAATCTCACCTCCCCGTTTGCCAACAAGAGGAAGGAGTACTCTGAGCGGAGAATACTCGGGTATGTTGCTCAGCACTCATGTATATACTGTGGATAGCCTGTTATCTGCATTAATATTTATTATTTTTTTAAACTTTATTTTACTCGGTAAGACCCACTGAGCAATATAGCTCGTTTTCAGAAGCGACCTGGCCACAAATTATAGCTCAACAAAGTCGCTTATCACGTGGAAATTCATAGCAGCCAAACACTTAAACACATTTCGAAATTACGATTTAAAGCTTTCGTGACTGCAAGGATTAATCTTCTTTGGTTCTTTCGGTAAAGTCACGTAGAATGAGAATAAAATAATAAAATAAAATAAGACAATAACATTCTCACGACGTTTCGGCCACAACACAAGTAGCCTTCTTCAGGTGAAAGAACAGAACTGTCGGGAGAAAAATCCACACGACCATAGGGAGAACATGCAAATTTCAAATATACAGGCGTTAGGATCAGAGTAGAATCCACGACCTCGTATATACCAGGCGAGGTAGTTAGCATCTCACCACTGTGCTATTGGCGCATTTACTTGTGTAAATAAATCCTTATCTGTGAAGTTTTGTCAGATAAATTTTGATTTTAGCATTCCTGGAGATCCCTTCTGGGTGAATCCATATCCACAGGTATTAATATATAAATATGCCTCCATACATACAAAAATCATGAAGTGGAAGGTGTTGGAAGAGGTGCTGTAGACCAAGAAAGTCTTGTCATGTGCTTTTGCCTCTGCTGTGGAGATATCAGGAGACTCTAGAAGGCGGCAGCAGCAGCATATCCTCTCCTGGATAAATAAATACAAATCCTGGTGTCCCCGTTGCTTATAACTACGGAATTAGAATGCATCTGACGCCTGCAAATTAACTGTTAGCTCTGTCGGTCCTTCCACGAGCACGTATGGCACGCTCAAATTTAGAAACTAACTTTTCATGGCTTATGAAATGTCCCGCTCCCGCACTAATCCCTAAAACTACTGGAATGTGCTCAATGCGTACTCTCCTGTCATCCAAAATTCACCTCTCGACTTGAGCAATTTAAAATGGAAATGAAGAATTAATAGGTCGACCACTGCTTTCATCATCGCATGCGTGCTTACTTACCGATTGATACCGTTCCTCCCCTCTTGTAAACGGTAACATTATTTGTCTTTACCAGGTTATGATTTTTACACATTTTACTTATGCTTGCACTTTCAATAAACCAAATTTAATAACTTGAGTAAATATTGCTTAAGGGTTGGCCTGATCTCTTATCACCTTGGCCCTGTTAACTTATCGTTGTGGTGATTAATTGATGCACTGGCATATAAACATTCAGCATTATAAGTCGTAACAATATGTACTTATATTAATACAGAAGTGTTTTTGAGTGCCAATGAGTATATTATTACCAGTGTTAATGTTAGCCTTTAATTATATGATTGCTGTTGGTGACATTTTAATGATTGCATGATGTGATTCAATTATAAAAATAATGTTGCACAGTGTATGAGTAAATAAGGCTGTGATCTTCACTTTGTTGCTCCCGAACCAGTGGTACAAATTCCACATTCCCATGTTGGATGTTCGGCAACATAGATCAAGCAATGTTTACTTATAAATTTTATCAACTGAAGAAATTATTCACTGAGTTGACCTCCAACTTGGATTTTTAACTTGCTACTTCCAATTGTGAATCATGTGCTAACCACAGCACCACCCATCTGGGTTATCAAATGAAGATGAATTATCAACTGCTACCCTTTGCTCTTTAAGGAAGCTGATAAGACGATTTTCTATACACGGGAAATAATGCTTGTCTATCCGAGAACACCTGCCCTGTTTGCGTGAACTGAAATCTCTGGGGTCAATTCAAATGTTTTTTTTAAATGTACTGTCATGCTGCATACAATTTAGATGCGTGCATGTACATTACAACTTGTGCATGTTGGCGTAAGGATGTGCACCTGACGTATGCATTTGGGAATTTGTTCGTTCAGTTGAATAGAGGCTCTCTTAGCCTGGCTTATCAGCTTAATTTTATGTTTATCCAGAGCTAGTAGAACATTAAGATGAGGATTTGGTGCAGAGCTGGTGGCGTCTCTGTCCGTGGCAGGTACTCAATGCAGGAGATGTACGGCGTGGTGGCCAATGTGGAAGACTACAAGACATTTGTGCCATGGGTGAAGAAATCGCTCGTGGTGTTCCAGCGTTCAAGCCATATCAAGGCGCAGCTGGAGGTTGGCTTCCCGCCGATGATAGAGCGATACACGTCCAGCGTGACGCTCGTGGAGCCCCACCTCGTCAAGGTGACATTTGCACGCTCGCCCAGGACACGGCCTCAGTGACTCGCTTGGTCACGTGTGGCGCCAGCCACGTGCTTAAATGCCAGCGCACTTCATCAATTGCCAGCCACCTCGTGCTGCAACTGTTGAACCGTTGACATCTGACCCCAGGGTCTACTGTAACAGTATCCCAGAATTTGGCTTCATTTTCTTCTTCCCTTCAGTCACAGAGCAGTGCTGCGCAAATGCCTGCCTCAGTAACTTTCCGTCCTCCGTTGCACTCTGCGGCCATGATATTTGTAGCGTCTTGCACGTACACCTTCATGGTGCATGTGTTGCACCTTACGCAATGGTGTTCTTGTGTCAGATAATGCGTTTTAAAACTGCTCTAAATCACTAGGCACAAGAGAATCATTGACCTTTGAGTGTGCCATTAGAAAAGAGTTCGTTTTTGTCTTGGCTGTTTCCAGTGAATACCAGCCTGAATGTGTTTAATTGTGAATGGAAATTATATCTGTCTACCTGTGGTGTTTGTGCCATTTCTATATTGACATATGTTAATTAAAGCTTGAAAGCACGAAAAATCGTATTCAACAAACATGCAGAATAATGGTTATTTCATCTTTTGTTATGATGGTCTTCTTTTAATGTGGAACAAAAACTAGTGTTTTTTTAAAATAACCTTAAAAAGATTAAAACAACATTGTCACTATCTTATTGTTTTTCGAATTGTATAGTTTTATTAAACGAGGGCAGCATTGATTGTGTTGTGTTAATATTTTGGTGGTCATACTGTTTGGGTCTTTCGGTAAAGTCCCGTAGATAGAAAAAAAAAATCACGTCGTTTCGATCGCAACACAAGCAAGCAATCGTCTTCAGGTGAAAAAATACAGCTGGCGGACTGCTGAGGCAGGAATATATATTCATGTTTCCAATTAGCATTGAATATGAGCATTGAAAGGTTTAATTTAAGGACCATTGTTAATAGAAAATGTATCCTTCAGGGTTAGAGGTTAGGTTGCTGTTCTGCCCTTTTCATCAGCTGTGACAATTGACCACATGTTGTTCCGATGACAAAGGTCATTCTTATTTTCCTGGCACAGCTGCTCTTGGCTAAGTATCAGTCCCAGATTATCTGTGATGCGCATTGTAGTGTTACTATGCCTTCACATTGGGTAACTGATACGCTTAGTCATTAGACGTGCTAACTAAGATAAAATATTGATATGCCCTGAGTGCAGAAATAGCACATTTCAAAATTAAAGTGTTTCGCTGCTAAAATTAGAAATTTGGATGCCCTGAGCTTGTGGTGGAAAATCTACATTTCCAGTTTCCACATAATGACCACTGTTTACTTTTCATAGTCGATCCCCAACATGGGATATGTAATATGCAGCCTTCCACAGCAACATCTAGCAAGGAAATCTAGTACAATTAGAATGCACAATACATCTTAAGTTAAATTACATCTTTAAAGGGGCGCCGTGGTGGCTGCATGTTAACTACCTCGCCTGGTATGCAGAATGATCGTCAGTTTGATCCCGACCCTGACGCCTGTATATTTGGAGTTTGCATTTTCTTCTCGTGGTTGTGGATTTTTTTCTGAGTCCTCTGGTTTTTCCCTCCATATTTATAAACTTGCGTTTCGATTATTTGGCTGCTATAAATTTCTACATGATAAGCCACTTCGTTGAGCTATCCTTTATAGCCAGGTTGCTTCTAAAAAATAGCTAATAGCTCAGTGGGGGATTACCTAGTAAAATAAAAAAAAAAGTTTTTAGTTTTAAATAATATAGGTCAACAAAGTTCATGACAAATGCATTGAGCATATATTTAAGCCAATGTAAAGCCGATTTATAATACAAACTCTGGTATGCTTGTCATGCATTTCTATTTGCAGATGAAAGACTCTGGCAAGCATTCGTGAATGAGGTTGTTCCTTCACCTGAATAGATTTGTCGATGCTGCCTAGTTTGGTGGCTCATGTGTTTTTTGTCACTTCCATGTCTGCACAGGCCATATGCACAGATGGACGAATTTTTAACCACCTGGAGACGGTGTGGCGATTCAGCCCGGGCATCCCAGGCATCCAGCGCAGCTGCACCCTCGACTTTTCTGTACGTGCACCAGTGCAGAGAATAACAGGCTCCTGAGGGAGAAGGATAAGAGAGAGGATTTGCTTAACTTAATCAGGAATATGTCTGTTAACGTCCCCTGTGTCTAAACGGATGACAAGAGCCCTGCGGAGTTTATTTATCTAGCTGGAATGGATGGATGGTAATCGTGGTCACTTTAAGATAGTAATTGCATTAGACCCTTTATTGCCTCACTGGTTATTCGTAGGTTGTGTATAGAATACCAACGTGCATAAAAAAACAGCTGGTATCCAGCTGTGTAACTGTTCGTTTCTGGCCAGGCAGAAATTGGAGGGTAAAATGTGAAAACCAGATCATTTCGGTTTGCGTTTTGAACGCCCTCAGGCATGGTGGTCACGAGACCTCCGTGACCACGGTGGGGTTGCAGAGAAGGGCAAAATGAGCTGACTGAGGGGAGGGAGGAGGGGGAGTAGTGCGAGGACAAATGGGTAGGGGGGAAGGAGTGGGTGGAGCGGACGAGTGGAGAGGAGTGGAGTGAACCTGCCCATTGACGGAGAGACGGATTGGGGAAACAGAATCAAAGAGATAGGTACACAATGATACGGAGAAAGACAGGAAGAGAAATACAGATATATCTACACACAGACAGACACAAGAGAATAACAGGCACAAACTGATACATGCAGAGAGACAGATGCTAGAAATGGAGACGGTCAGATGAAGAAGCCACACATAGATGCCTATACAGAGACCTCGAGAGAGACTGATAGAGGCAGATACATACACACACACAGACTCCGAGGCAGCAAGTGACAGACAGAAAAGCCAGAAGTCCCGTAAAAGGCAGACCACACACAATACAGACAAGCAAAACACAAACTAAAGTCTGTGTCTTTGTCCTTAAATGTGGCAACACTAATTTTGTTGGTGGTTTTGAGCCACTGGTAGAAATTCCACATTGACAATGGTGAGGCCTGTTTCTCTATATAATGACCACAATTATGTTATGCTGCGGTGCAAATATACACAATTATCAATATAACATTGATCCACCCCAAGCGAAAATATTGTAGGCCCTTCGAACAATGAGGTCATTGGGGGCCACCATGTTGACCCCCCCCCGTCCGTACTGGACCCGCTCCTACTGAACATCTGTGAAATAGAGCGTTAAAACTATCGAAGTCCAAATAAATAAAGATTCTGATTCTGTTGGCACCTGTGGTCATGATACTGCGACTATTATGCAAAGAGGAAAAAAAAACCCCTGCTTTATCCAATTGCACTGCAAGTATAAACATGCATTTCAGGCATGTCAGGCATGTTGGCAGTCTGGTGACGAATGACTAAAAAGAACCCCCATTGTGTAAACTTGATTTTCATACTTCATTTAGCTCAGTGACTTGGTGTCAATTATACACAAAGAAAAACTACATAAAGTGTGCTCCCTTCTGAGTATGGTTAGAACAGCGAGAGTAAGATGCACAGGAAGTGCAGAAAGCACTGCCCCAATGGAACATATTACTCGTAGTACGGTTGGCTACATATATTTATGAATATTGCTAATATAAATGGCGATGGGGGGGCGGGTGTTGATTCAACCTAGAATACCTCTAGGGATGGTTGATTGTTGTGTACCACCATGTGGGAAGTGAACAGAGGTTGTCCAATGGAGAGACTGGTCCCTCACCATTGGAATGTAGAATAACCTCTACTGCCCCATGACCGCTAATGGATATGAACATTGTTTCATTACAATTTTGCGCATGGAGGCACTTGGGCTTGATGCTGAACAATTATCATTGCCGTCGTCTTGTATGCGTTGCTTGATTTGCACAACGCTAATATGAAGTGAAACGATGCTTACTTCCACACCAGTCACTTAATGCGAAGGGGCATCCCCTTATTTCCTTCCTTCCCCGCAGACCTCCTTCGAGTTCCGATCACTGCTGCATTCGCAGCTGGCGGGCATGTTCTTCGACGAGGTCGTGAAGCAGATGGTCGGCGCCTTTGAGCGACGTGTGTGCAAGCTGCACGGCGTTGAGACGCCCATACCCCGCGAGTACATGGTCCACGAGGTGCACCACACGTGAGGGCCCCCCTCCTCTCGCCCCCCCCTCCCCTTCCCCCTCCCCCCCGCCTCTCTCCCACCGTGCTCACTGCAACCAGACCCCAAGCATTCTCGCAGAACAAGGTCGCACCCAACCACTCCCCGACGCCTGTGTGACGACAGCAGGGAACAGTGGCTGAGGGTACCGAGTGAGTGAGCTTGGTGTGGCGGGGGGGGGGGCGCCCTGTGTGCCGCGTGTCCGCATCTTGAGTGCCATGCTGGAGTGGCGGGTGGCGGGAGGAGGTGGGGTGGCACCTTTATGATGTATCCTATGTCAGACGTAATTAAAACTCGCATATATTATTTATGGTTTTGAAAGACTTAATTTTCATATGTATGGAAAATGAGCACCTTGTTCGTTAGAGAATATATTCTTGGTTGTTTTTTTTTATGAATCCTTTGGGCCGTCCTCTGACATGAGTGTGCACGAGGAGTCATGCCGAGTGGCTGGCCAATCTGCAGATGTAACCGCCCCTGGCTTGCACTTTGACCTGCAGATGCACTCAGCACCTTTACCACTTTGTTCTATTACAGTGTATAATTTCTATGGACTGCCACCTTTGGGGAACTGAAAACAAAAATACAGCCTTATAAAATATAATTTCAAGGTGACTGAGCCTACATTTGCATTTCATTATTTTTTTTAAGGGTCCAACGTGCACAAATCACGATGTTTGCAGGTCTAACAAGTGCATCTCTTGTCGTTAAAGCATCTCCATGTTCAGGGAACTATAGACGAGAGATTTGATGCAGCAATAATGTTGAATGAGATGTTGAAGATATAAATGTGGACATAAACCGTTTGATGGTACTAGCTTTATGGAATCTGCTTCAAGGGGCATTTGCAGAAGTAGTTGCTTCAGGACATCAGCTTAATGAATACACTGTTAATATGTACAAGCATAGGTGAACTGGTTCATATTGAGACCACAAAAACAGATGTAAATAGATGGGGAAGGCCTGGGAGTACAAAAGTGAGGTGCATGTAGAACTTGTTGATTCACCTTATTCATATTTCACAGTGCATTGACTCCTGTTTTTTGAGGGGGTCACCTTTAATGTTGTAGTGGGTGTGGTGTTGTGCACAATCAAGGTGTACGCTGCAATATCGTGTAAAGCTGTCATGAAAAAAGCCCCTGAGCTGCATCTGTAATGCCACCGTGTGTTAGAAATGTTGGATTTCAACAGAAAAGTAATCTTGGCATCAAGACTGACATTGTCCACACCAAAAATGGACCTGATCATACTCGGTTACATATTGTTTATTTAGAATTGTAAGGCCTCCAATATTTATCATTTATGTTGCTAGCCATGAAAAAAAAACCTTCTTAAAGTGTTACAAAATGTTTCATGATAAAATCACACAGGAAACATCCCTGTACAATTTATGCTCCGTTTAGTATCGACATTGCAGTGGTGAAAGAGCAACTTAAGTTGGCGGTTGCATACACACACATTTCCCTACCCACATTGGAATATAGTAGTGGGTTTCCATAAGGAACAAGATATCGGCACGTGCGCAGGAGAAATGTCGCCCGGTTTAAAAAAAGCTACCTCAATCGTGGTGGTTGAATGAATGGGAGTGCTGAACGGCAGGGGGGCTTGGATTTGGAAGCGTCATCGTAATGGGACCCATGGAAAGACCGTTCTGCAACGACCGATTGTAAGGTCCTGTTCAGAGCTGGTTTTACAGAGCGTGGCAAAACAATCTTGCCTGAAGTTATCAGCTGATCAAACCAGCGATTACCTCTCACATAAAATGTCTTGTAGTTTTGAGAAGCATCTGATAAAGGTGACATAATATCCTGTTCTGAAACTTGTTCAATCACTTCAGTTGACCTTTCGAATGAATGAGCATGTAATTAGAGGGTAGATTCATTGAAACAATTGCCAACATGTCTGTTTACCGGCCGACGAGCATATTCCAAACCACATTGTTATGCTGCTATTGCTCGACAGCAAAGCAATGGGTTTGCTGGCAATCGCTCTGTAGAAATCTGTGAACAGGCCTGGGTGCCGAGTGGTTTTTATAATTGCACCTTTCATTGCTGATGCTTGAACATGTGTACAATAGTGGTTTATCATTCTCCGCCTTACCCGTTGGAGTCTGGGAAGTAAACTGTGCCTTCTGTAAAGCAATGCAAGCTGTGAAGATTTGAACTGCAGTTCTAACCAGCCATTTTGCGCTGACTTTTTTTTGTTGCATTGAATGTATAAGTTATAACCACAGGTGGTGAATGCCATTCTCATAGCTGCCACCTGTTCCAATTTTTGACAATTCTGTTTTGTGGGTGTATTAATTGAAACTCATCCTTGTTTGTTACTTGCTGTACATCAGAGCAAATCAAGACAAAAGTGGATTTTAAATACAAAAATATCCTGTTCTGTTAACTTCGTCAAATGTAGTCTAACGCACCATAAGCATTTAGTTTTACTATATTTGCTTATGTTGCTTCCCTTTGATCGCCCACCTGAATATTGACTCAGTTTTTGCCCAAATTCTGAAAGATCTGAGAAAATGCCTCTTTTATTTGACTTAAATTGCCAGCTGTTCATTGTTGGTATTGCTGGGTTTCCATCTGTTTCACTGTTGGACACAGTAGGAACTTGGAAAATAGTTTGTGGGAATGGCAGGTGCAAGCAGAGAAAAACATTTTCACCTGGCCTGCTCACTGAAAACATCAAGCAAGGGATTTCAATTGTAATTTTCACAAACTGTTAAGCCAATTTAAATATCAAAACCTACATTAGTTGTGCACACAATTGTCACAGTTTTATTTCAACTAAAATATATAAACGCTAGACAACTGAATTTCCTTCTTGATGAGTATATAAACCTGTTAAGTCACGTGGCAACAAAAGGAATAATCGTCGTTGATGTCCTCATGGAAATCTTAATTATAACTCTTCCACTGGCTCCTTTAAACTTTTTGAGTGCATACGTTGCTGGAGTGGACTTACCACTGCCTTGGTCCAGAGTGCAGAGCTCTTTCAAAGAGTTAGTTAAAACTGTTGCATTCTATACTGTGTATTAATGTATACATGTGGTGTTTTGCATCCCATGATAAACCCCGTTAATGTAAGCTGACTGGCAAGTGCTTAAAGAACATCAGTGCTGTGCATGGAGCTGGCCAGAAAATATCCGTGCTCATGGTAACGTAATGTGGATGGGGGAATATTGTGATGTCCTTAATAGAAAAGTAGCACAATTACTGAATGTCATTTGGTAAGTACCATGAAGCATCCTTAAAATAAACTGAATGGAGTGGAATGGGAGTTATTCAGTACAAATACATATTTGCATTTATCGTTACGTGAAAACGTCCGTGGCTTAGTTTAAGCAGAAGTTCTGCTTGGAAAGTGTTAAACATGGGTTGACTCAACAATATCGTAATATATTCTTTTTGGTCCCTAATGCAGCTGACTATGGTTGTCAGCTGTGATCCCATCATTGCTTGCTTGTCTCCGTGTGGTAAATTGGCCTGTTATGTTCACTCCAATTCTCTCAATTTCTCATGACTTCCTGCAGAGTGCTTCCATGTTCGCCAATCAAATTTGTCCAGTGCCTAATAGCAAACAGCCTTATCAGTTGATGTCTTGCATTTAACTGTTGCCAGACTCGAAAACGTTTAACCATTGTGATAACCTTGTCAGCTGCACATATCTGCCACTTATCACATTTTCATAGACTTTGTTATCAGTCTGCTTGCATTGTGCTTGCACATGAGTAGACCTTAACAGCAAGCTCTGCACTCGGTAGGATGAGGACAACAGAGACTGCTTTCTTGGTATGTGCAATCATCGTGAACGCAAATTATCCATTGTCATCTCTCCCAAGTCGCAGAAACCATTTGGTGCTTGGAGTTGATTTGTCCATTGGTTATCTATGCTGCAACACTGCATGGCCAAACTGCTGACTGATCAGATGGCTCCTTATTTAACAGAGCATTCTGAGCCATGATTACTTAATTGAAACCCACCCTTCAGAATCTAACCACACAGCATCCAATAGCTCCAGTGTTTGAGGAGTGGAAATGGTTGCTTGTATGCTGTTTTCTTTCAGCACACGATGGGTATGTACCATATCAATTGGATGGATAGCTAATCACTGCATTTTACCGATTTTGCCTTGCACATTATAAAAGAGTGAAGTTTGAAGTATTTTTCCCATCTAAAATACTGATTTGCCTCCCAAGTACAAATTTTAAACGTTATTTAAAGTTTGCCCGGGTTGTCTTCCACAGCATGAACTTGTGTACAGACCATTGTAAATCTAGCAACCAACATCATCGATGGAGCATTGCTAATCTCCAGTGTTGGTACAGAACGTCATAATCACCAACTGGACATTTGCCACAAATTGCTATCTGGAGCGATTTAATGGCAAATTTTTATTTTGGGAAGCTGCCCAGCTAACTTATGATATATGTATTCATGCTGCAATCCAAGAAAACCCCAGCATTGTAAAGAACTATGCATCGGTGAGTTGTGAGACTGAAAAGCAAAGAGGGTTTTTTTGTTATTATCACGTTGCCTCCACCTGTACAACAGTGCTCAAACTGACATCATCACTTGGGCTCTGCCTTTATTCAGTCAAGGTGCTGCTCTGAAATACTCGAACCGCGTGCCCGCTACATAAAGTGCATTATAACGTTGGCAGCATTTTGACAAAGACATGTGGAGCACAAATGTGTTTGGTGGTGTTGTGTACTCCAAGGATACTGCATATAATAAAGAATTAAAGCTTTCGTGACTGCATAAATTACTCATTGGTTTTTTCGGTAAAGTCACGTATCTATGTAGAAATACCATAAAATTATATTAAAATTAAATAAATTGGCCCGTTATTTTAATATAATTGTATGGTATTTCTACATACGTGACTTTACTGATAGTGCATATAGTTCAGTTAGCTGGACGTACATGTTAGCACGCATAGTCAAAATGCAACTTTTCGGTCAACCACTAAGTGTTAACTATCCTTTGCACCCTTATGGAGTGTTTGGTAGATGATTGATATTCACCATGAATTTTACGTCTCGTGTGTTTTTCTGTAATTTGGATTCGCATGCCCAGTTACCTGGGCCCTGCAGGTGCCGGTTTATTGAGAATGGGGATCAAGGGAAACTGTTGTGTGCATGCTGCCTTGTACATTCAGAACATATATTGTAACGAAAAAAAAGTGTATTGTATAACGGATGTAATAAAATTTAATGTTCTCAACTATATTATACGGGTACATTATTAACGGTGGTCTTGCATCTTACCATCCAATGAAATGCCATGCTGTGTGATAGCACCTTTTGTGCGATTGCCAGCGATGTTTGCGTTTGCATACGCATCCATGATGCCAGTGACTTCTGTTCAGTTCCCTTTCATACACACGAGTGCCACGTGTGATAACTAACTGATCCTGAGACCAGCCTTCCTAAGGCAGACTTTATCTTAAATTAGTACTTTCTACAGTGTGGACTCATCGGAAGACAATGGAGATACATCATTGTTTCCACACTCCCATTTAATGTCCTTTGCTGACCTTAGAAGGTGCTCAATAGCAGCATTTGCCCTCGGAATTAAAGTGAAATGGTTCTTTCGGTAAAGCCACGTAGGTATACAACCACAGCAATAAACAATTGCCGAAGCGGGCAAAAGGGCTGCTGTGACAAGAGGCTATATGGGTAAGAGAGGGGGGAGTAGCCAGGGAGGAGAGATAGAGGGGGGTGTGGGGTAGGGCGAGCAAGGCAAAATGCCGGGGGGGGGGGGGGAGTGAGCGGGGCTGGGAGTGGGAGGCTGCCAGTTAGAGAGGGGGGAGGAGGGAGAGAGAGGGGGATGAAATGAATGAGTTTTTTTAAATCCCGCTTCGTTTTACAAATTGCTTTTTTGTCGTGCCTCAATATGCATATCCTTTTGCCAGTACCTGTATCCTTACGAAAATCGAAGGAGCAATAGTGTTAAAGAACCATTATGAGACTTGTAGACATTCACCTCTTCCACAAAATAGAGAAGTATACAAAGATATGAGAGCTAAAATACATTTAGCCTATTAAAAAAAAACCTTTCTTTTCTGATGCTGTTCATAGTGCACTCCACATGAACACAACGTCGACCAGCACACTGCACCATGAACACCCTCGACATGTAGAAACCGGACTGAGAATCCTGATACTCAGACTACAGCCCCATGAACCTGGACAATGAACCCACAAACCTGATTCAGCAACCCAATAAACCCGGACCACGAGACCACCATGAACCTGTCGGCTGATTTCATCGCCCCATCTCTGGGTCTTGTTCCCTTCCTTGGCTGCCATTCTGTCAAGGAGCCGTCCATAAATGACGTCACGCGATTTTGGACGATTCTTGACCCCCCCCCCTCGTCACACGGCGTCACAAAAAGTCAGACCCCCCCTCAAATATGACGTCACAAAGCTCTGCCCCCCCCCCCCCCCCCAAAATATATGTCAAACATGCTTCAAATCGCTTTAAACTATTGTCATTGTAGTGCGTATTTAATGTGGCGCTGCACTCTGATGTTATAGGAGAAAACATTAAAAAATCTATTTAATTAAGTAGAACGTGTCTATTTAAAGTTGCGAATTTTGATGTGACGTCACATTTCTCAAACCCCCCTCCCCCCCTCGTCACACATCATCACAAATGTCTGCCCCCCCTAAGTGAGTGACGTCATTTATGGACGGCCCCCAAGTATTTAATCTCCAATTTTTTTTGAGCGATGTGTCCTTGCCAAGTCCACCTTAAGTCAATTTGACGCCTATAATTCACATTTGTTTTCTGATCCAGCATCCATATTTCCATACTGCTTCGTGTACATTTCAGCTTTTTTCACTGCTCTTGTCAGTCTACATTTCCAATCCATGTCAAAGCAGTGACAATGCACTGAATGAAAACGTACATCTGTTGGTACACTGGACGTGTGACAAAGAACTTGATAGCTCATCGGATTCCCCCAGTATAAAGAAAGATTATAATTCTGGTCTTCTGCTTTTCATTGTCAATCGTCCCAAAAACACGATATAGCTCTTGCTCACCCCTTTATAATCAACTTGATACTGGTCTACCTTATTTCCAGTCCCTACAATTATTTGTTTTTGTTTAGTGGTACTGTTGTAGATGACATTGTCTTGCTCATTTACCATGAGGCTCCTTTTAACATTTCTTTGTGCAGTCCTTGACCTGAAAAAAAATCGGATTTCAAGCTACGAATGTCGTGCTTAGAGAATAAGAGCACTGTCCCATCCTTGTTTAGTCAGACGCTACTTTGACTTCGCAATTTAATCAAATAACTTCAAGTATAACGCTAATTAGCAACTGCTAAACACTTAACTGCACTGCAAAACAAGGTGGTCGACGAATAAAAAAGTTTGGCTTTCTACAATTAAGCTCGCTTGAATTCAAACAAACATCATCTGTTTTCCCATGCCGTGGTCTGAAACCCAATATTCTAACGAATAACAAATGGGCCTTCTACAATTAACCTGTCTTGAATTCAAACAAACCATTTGTATACCCATACCGTGGCCTGAAACCCAATACTGTATCCCAGAACCAACTTTCAGGGCGTGAAGTGGCCACTTATTGTACTCACATTAACTCTCGGACCTTGTATTGGGGAAAGGGGGTTGGGGTTATGGGAATGTTGGTAGCAGGTGGCCAGCTGGTCTGGGTGTGCGTGTGAGGACGCACGGAGATATTAATAGACACCTTGGCACTCTATGTGAGGCACAACGGAGCTTTTGCAAAGGGGGACCCAAACACAACATTACCCACCCATATAGAGGAGCAGCAGGGCACCTCCACAGCCTCCCCAACGCTGTCCCTATCTGCAAAACCACTGAACCGTTTGCATGCCACTAACTTACTGGATATTTCCCCCCCCCCCCCCCCCCCCCCCCCCCCCCCCCGGGCCAATTCTGCACTAGTTACAAACAGAATTGCACGGTTAATGTAGTCCACTCAATCAAAGTCAGGGCATCCGTTGCTGCGCCAATGCTGGGTTATCCATTCCCATACGTGAACGAGTGTAGGAGTGTGCCGTTATTTAAAACGAATCTGCTGTAGTTGTCTTTTGCTGTGGCATTTAAGTGTGGATATAATTACTTTTGTGAGAATTAAAAATTGGATGTCCTACGTTGAGACTTCTCTGCCATAACCAAGAATGTGGAATGTCATACACTGAATCAGGGTCAATAGAGCCGATCGGCACTTTATTTAACCAGGTATAACCCCGTGAAGGTTAATTATTTTTCGATTTAAAGCTTTCGTGACTGCAATGATTCATCTTCTTTGGTTCTTTCGGTAAAGTCACGTAGAATGAGAATATTATTGTGTTATTTTATTTTATCAATTTATTATTTTATTCTCATTCTACGTGACTTTACCGAAAGAACCAAAGAAGGTTAATTAGTTATTCATGTCCATTCAGATGATTTCCTCATTCGTCACAAGAAAGCTGGCCTACAATAGTCATGTCATGAGAATTTTTTAAAACTTGTTTGGAAAAGCAGATTATGCAAGGCACAATACCCGGTTCACGTGCACGAGGAAAACCAAGGATCACATGGATGGATAACATCAAAGCATGGACGAGGCTAACGCTGGAACACAATGAGGATAGCAGAAGACAGAAGTCAGTGGTGAAAGATTGCCCATGGTGTGGCCAACCCTCAGATCGAGGATGGCTGAAGACAAGACAAGAATTCGTCATATTTTGTATTGAGCCACATGCAACCTCAGTTGGATTCAACATTCATGATTCATATTTATGACAAACTGTCGTGTTCTCATTAAACTAACTTTCATGATAACAACCATCAATTCATACGATACGGTTGTGAAACTGGGACGCGCAAAATCTGCAGACCGTATGAAAACAGCAGGTCTTCAAATTGAAGTACTTGTGCTTTGTCCTAAACATTACCTGGCACGAACACATCAATAATAAAGAAGTCGCAATACGTGCCTCACTGACTGAAGGCCGCATCGTTCACACTGTCCTGAAATGGCAACAGCCATGGTTAGCGCACATCCCATGCATGGGCTGTACCCAGCTTCTGAAATTGAGCCCGCAAGCACACAGGCTCGGTAAAGGCCACAAAAGACACCCCACAATCAAGCCGGGTCGAAGCCGCTCATGAAGAGACTGGTACCAATTCAAACTGGCCGTCTTGTCGGAACAAGTCTTTGACGAGTGGCTTGATTGTTAATGCCGACCGAACGACAACCAGGTGAAGTATATCTTCTCTCGTGGGCATCCATGGAGTAAACATCTCGCCACGGTGGCTAGGATATGTTAACTACCTCGCCTGGTATACAGGAGGTCGTGGTTTCGATCCTGAACCCACGAGTTTGCATGTTCTCCCCATGGTCGCGTGGAATTTTTCTCCGGGACCTCCGGTTCAATATTTAGATACATGGGATGACAATATTTCTCGAGCTATCATTTGTGGCCAGGTCGCTTCTGAAAAACGTGCTCTATAGCTCAGTGGGCCTTATCGGGGTAAAATAAAAATAGTTTATAGACTACTACTGCTGGTTATGGTGATTAAATTACATATGCTTTTGCATGGTATCTAAATTGGGGTGCATAACCACTCATCATCTGGGTTCATCAGATCCCGGAGGCTGAGATGGTGCCAACAATTTACACTTTGTACTGTGAGGTGTGGTTATAATCTTACCTTGCATCACATTGCCTTGACTCATTACTGCAATATTTACCAGCCTTCATTACCCTTAACGTTTTGCCCCAAAAAAAACACTGTTGCGTCGATATATATCTAAAAGATAGGTGGAATACGACTTAACATTGTAATGCAATGAAGTTCTCTCCCAACGGGCCTATAAAAGAATCAGGCTCAATGCCAATCCAGTTTAAAAATCAACAGACATGTATTTTTCAAAGCCAACTTAGGACCCATTCAAGATGACACAAGTATCTACCTGCTCAAAATAATAATAACGGGTGGCACTTATATCCAGTAAGCAGGAGAATAATCAAAATCCACATTGATCTGGTGGGTGGCCAGGCTCCATGCTATGAGCAATGTTGACTTCCCAAAGAGACATTCTCATCTATTAACCCTGGAGAGACGATGATGGTGATGATGGACTGAGTCCCACTGACCAGGACAGACCGGTGAGAGAAATGGTGTAAATACTAACTCCGTTTATCTCGGAAAAAAAAATCGAGGGACACTCGATTA